TTGCTTGTGTAGTTTTCTATTGTGTGTAGAATTCTCATTTCTGCAATGAACTCTTTTTGATATTTAGAATGCAAAGTATCTAATTCAACTCTTTACAATTTGTCAGGAATATAGAGTTACTGATTGAGCCCCTCAGGAGCCTGAACATCTTTACTATTCACTGATCATTCAAAGGAAAACCCTCCATTTTTCACATGGATATGTATTTCAAAGTACACCGTTTTGCCCATTCTCAGTACTTGCTGTGTTTGTGTACGCATGCAAGTCACACCAGAAGTCAGTCTTTAATCTTCAGAGCACTTGGCCTTATTGCACACACGTACTGTATGCATTACAGAGGAAGTAAAAATATTAAATGTGGCTTTGCAAGCAATAAAATTATTTTAGCAGTGCAATTCGCTGGGTTTTGACATAATTAAACTGATTTATTTTCATGACAAATATGGCAAACGTTTCTAAGTCACATTTTTGTGTGTTCTAAAATCTCTGACTCTATTGGTAGTGTTCAGCATGGGTTCAGACCTGTACAATGCATTTCCTCTCTTGCTTCTTCAGTCACACTGCAGAGCTCAGACGAAACCCAGTACAACCAGGGTGCTTGGTCACTGGGGTGAAGCTCACTCTGACAATGATATTTTTATGCTCAATGCAGCTCAGAATATTCTTTCCCTTTTTGGTGTTTCTCCTTTGAAGAAACGTGCATTAGAAAACAAAAACAGAACGCTACATTTTTGTGCGACAGGGGCATGAAGGATTGCTCAAAGAACCTCTCACATCTTGAACTCATTTGGCAACTTAGCTTGTTGGATTACATTTCTTCCTGTCACACCACGCATGCCTGCTTACACAAGCAGATCCAGAGTCAACGGAGCTGAAATGTGGACCGTAAGTTTGATGTCTTTGTTAACGCAGAGCGGGCTGGGAATGAAGGGAAGACTTGAAAGAGCAAGACTGTGCTGCTTTAGTCAGAGCCCTGTGTTGCAATCTCATTCTCACTTCACTGGAGCCAAATATGAAAATTCCATTTCACAACAGGAAAAGCGAAAACGAATAACAATGCTCAGGGAACTTAGCATGGAAAAAGTGCGTATGCAGTTTCATCAGAGGGAAATCGGCAAAGAGTTGTGACACCCACCCACAGACTCTCTCTCTTTCATGGGGGACACTGGCAAACAATTGAACTTTCTTGCATGTTAGCAATCTAATGGGCCTCAGGCATTCTCAAGATCCAGCATGCCCTTTTGCAATCGCTTTTGACAACTGTCTGCAGCTGTTCTCTGTTTTTCGACCCATGTGCAATTGCATCTCATGTTCTACACCTGGAAATAAGTTAAGCCTATTAGTATATCGGCAGAACAGAAATATTTCCTTCACACCCTCCAGTTTTAGGTCTAAGAGACACTTTAAAATGAAGGGGAATCAAGCTTATATTGCTTACGTAACGGGTAGTGATGTGGAGGACTGGGCAGTTTCTGGACTGGAAAAGTGGGAATTCAAATCCCAACTGAGACACTGCTGAAGTACTCTTGACCACCTCCTTCCAGTAAAATACCTGTCTGTACTGCATGAATGTAAGTTGCTTTGGATACCAGCACCAGCCAAATAAATTTTGAGTTATCTGTCTAATAGAAAATGATGTACAATATTCTCAATGGCCAAATCTGCGTTATTTTTGTTTTCCAATAATTCTAATACAGAATCCCAAAAGGAACCGTCTCCCAAATTTAATCTGCATGACTGCCCTCTGTGCCCTGCCTGTCTCCCAATGGCTTCACCATGCTGCTGAGGATCTCCAGCCCTGCTCCTGGAGATTTCCAATCCAGCAGCTTTTACAGGACTAAGCCAGCTTGATGTAAAAACGGAGTGGGGGGAGGGTCACGAAACTCATAAACTCCACAGGAAACCAAAACAGCCGAAAGGATAAAAGAATGTTCATTTCCTTAAGTGCTAGACAATAGAAGCTCGATGAAAGTGTAGCTTTGCAGGAAATGCACACCTAACAATTGTTTTTTATCAGTCTGTGAAGAAAAACAAATCTGAGGAACAGTACGCAGACAGTGGTAGGGAATTTTACAACCAAATTAAACTCCCCAAATTAAATGAGACTTCCCCATGGTGTGTACAGGCAAGACTCCATTTAGACCAGAGGTGAGATGGTCAGGGTCCATATCCCAACATAACGTGCAGCAGTAGAACAGACAGGAGATGATAAACACAGCAATGACGATGATTGTGGATCCACAACAACAGGTGTTATGCACAGCAAAAGTCTGTAAATGTACATCCGAAATGTGTAGCAGAGCACTGTTCAACCCAGAAAGTGTGCAACAGTCTGGGGCAGTTGATGAATCCTAGTACAGTTAAAAGCTGAACTTGTGTACGTCAATCGGCAGGCAAGTAGAGATTCGTAGCAGAGATCGCAGTCAGGCACACGGCAGAAGTGGAGTGAGGCGTAAGCACCAGAGAAGACCCAAAGGGATATTTGTGCAGATGAAGGGGTCGTAGCGCTGGAGAGTTCACCAAGGTCAGGCGAAAAAGGGCGAGGGAGGTGAATACTTTCTGAAGGCACTGTATGTACGTCATATGCTCAGTGTACTCCAAGGAGTCCAAGAAACTAGTTTTTCAAAAAGCCGCGTAACAGGAAGAGTGAGCGAAAGGCACTTTTTGAAAAACAAACATCGAGAGGTAGATGTAAAACCAGAGAATGCCTATGGTATCGTAAAATATTACCCAATGAATTACCATACAGGAGAACAAAAGACAGAGGAAGTACAGTAATACAGCTGCTGCCTTCACTACAAATGCCGCTGGTGCAAATATTTGTTTTCCACATAGACTTTGGAGCAATTAGACAATGTGGGGGGAAGGCCTCCGTGCTCTGCTATCGAAGCTACAGCGGGTTAGACCCTGACGTCCGGAAGTGATTCGATAAGATGCCCCAGTGTCGTCTTATACATTGCACATTTTATTGCCCTGCAGCAGCAGCTGCCAAACTGAAACAAATAGGTCGATAACCGAACAGAGAAAAAGAGATACAAGAACCGCGTAACACATATTTTCCCTCAAGGACCTTTGTGTGCCATTTTGTGGATTGCGTAGTTGACTGCCTTTTCTGCAGGTGAAGGTCCATGCGGTGCCACCTAAGGGTGTGCAAACGTTGTTTGTCAGATAGGAAACTGCCGAATATGGAAAACCCCCTGGCAGGGATGTGCAGAGGAAGTTGTCGATGAACCTTCACTGCCTGAAATGTTTCCGTTTGCCGAGTGTAGCTTCCAGTCAGTGTAAACACAAGCAACGTAGCCACTGCAGTGCCTGCAGACGCACTGTTGGTAGCAGAAATGACAGGAAAGTGACCTAATTCCTTGCATTCTGATAGTACTTCCAAAGGAGTCCAAACGCTATTCACACAGGAGAGGGGATCCGCTAACATCCTCCCCTGGGGAGGAGAAGCCAGCTGCCTGACACACAGCAGCCATTATATACCAGAAGCTCACTGTCAAGCTGATCAAGGGGAATTCTCAAGCCCAGATTTCTGAAGGATTAACGCTTTCCAGGGTTCTCAGTTTGAGAAGGTTTTCCATCTGCTAAAGTTGTCACACAACCTCAGTTGAGGTCTTTTCATAAGCTTCCGTAAGCCCAATTCACCTTTTCTTCCGGGAAGTCATTTTCTTACGTATCTTTGTATTTATATCTTATTTGTATTCTTAGAAAGTAGAGTTTATTTAATGTATGTTTTGGCTTTCGCTTAGATTTGCAGATCCACAACTTTTTTCTGTTCTTTCATTTTGTATCGGGGTTACAGATCCTGCCTCCTCTCTGGTTTAAGGGGGAGCTGCAGTCCCAATATCTCAGACCGGTTATTAAATCATGGTAACAAAATACAGTCATTGATGTTATAGAAAAAATGTACGAATTTCGAGTTAAGCACAAAAACTTTGTGAAAGTGCTCTAAGTCACCATGTTGCCAGAGACTTGCATTTGAGTTCCCACAAATTTGGACGTGATGCAGCCCTTCCCTCTCACTAGTCACTGCAATGGTTGAGCGAATACGTACAGGATGTGCAGCAGAGGTTTCACTGTAGAAATGGTTGTGATCTACATGCAGAGCTAACAAGTCTGTAGCAGTTTTCTGCAAAACCTGCAAAAACAAGCCTGTTTGTTTGCAACGTAATAGTTCCTCTTCATGTCACTGGAATTTGGGTTGCCACATTCTGAATTGCAGAATATGACGCTGCACAGACCTGGAAATCTAATCTGTTTTGTGACGGAAATTGTACACGTTGCTGTGTAATATTTAATTTTTTAAAATGCACTGATCACTGCTGATTCTTTTTAACCCCCAAATATAAAAATAGTGTTGCAGTTCTGCTTAAAATGAGAGCTTACCTGTCCATGAGGAGGAGCCTAGTGAGGGGTTTAGGATATTTAACCCGTCACTCTGGTGTACAGTAGTACTTTAGTTTTGTCCAGTATCCTTGTCTGCATATTGGTACACAGCCTGAGAAATGGAAGGCCTGTTGTTTTGAAACCACTGGTAAGAAATTTCACTGAGTTTATTTTTTGTTGAATAGTTTCTTGTACGGATATTTTTTTTGCACAGGAGGACTGTTAGCAAATGGACACTACGTTGCACTAGTGTTTTGAATGGCCCATATTTTGTATGGGCTACCCTGTCAGATGGTTTAGTCAGACCCTAGTTCATCAGAATTTTAATTTGATAAAAAGAATTATAGGAACGAAAGAATTTCGAGTGTTGGTGCTACTGTACGAGCACCTTCAACAAACATCTAAATTACTAATTAAGCACAATATTAGACATACGCGTGTGCAGTGTTTTCAAGGGACATACTTGTGTGCCTCTAATTTGACAGTTATTCCCAAATCAAGTCACAGAACGATTTGCAAACCTACAAGACGCGTCTTGTCAGTCTTATTGATCTAAGAGCCTGCATGAAGATTATTTTCAATAGCATGTCACAAAACACACATCCACAGTGGAATATTTTAATATTATTATTTTATTAAATAACAAATATAATCATAAATGATAGAATCCTACCACACAAAACAATTACTCCACATTTACATAGTAATATTATTGCAATTGGGCACAGTACATTGTACTGTACTCTACAACTGTTTTAATATAAAACGTGACTTACATCTAAGCATTAAACATTGAATGTAAATTAATCAAACTATTACATAATTGTGGCCACCACAGCACTTGACACCTAATGTCAGGCATTACAGACATTGTCATCATATCAACATACCACCTAGTACAGCAGCTGCATTCTCATAAATGTTTTTTCAGATGTGGAAGGATGGCACGTGCAAAATTTAAAATGAGGTCCTCTAAAGTTTAGAAGGTAGTTCACTCAGTAGAACATGAATATGTATAGCTATATGTATCCAAATATATGGAGGATATTTGTGTGTGCACATTTATTCCAAATCATTTAAGTGCATTCAAAGAGACTGTTCATTACATGTGGAACCACAATCAAGGCTTCTCGGCTCAAGCCACATCTCTGCCACAGACAACACACAATGTCACAGCACTGGCCTGTGCAAACGGGTTTCCAGAAAGCACAACTGTCTCTCCTCTTCTGGACCCACATTTTATGATGTGCAAATTTTAAATTCAGGACACTGAGTAGTCTCAGGCAAAGTGCTGAATTACGCAGGGAGAATTAGGTTGTGCAGATATCATTAAACTACTGCATTAGTCATTGTTATCATACTTTCAAAATTGACTGGAGTCAGTTACAGAACAAATATGAATAGGGAGTAGTTATCTTCCTATAAATATCTCCACATTTATATCCCTCCCAAATTCCTGTAATATTAAAGTCACAAACATTATGCAACCAAACTGCTGCTATGTTTTCCTTACATGCATCTACTTTACTTTTTTTTACATATCTATTTACACAATCGTCAACTCAACAAATACTTTAATACTCAATAAATACTATTTTTAAAAAAGAGAACCTTTCTAACTACTGGCTGGGTTTTCTGTCACATTCATTTTATGACTTCAGAGAGCTCGACCGGTAAGAAACATCTCTGTCCTCTCTTCTCTGCAAGAGCGACACTCAGGTCTTTCTGTTGGGAAGTCTACTACAAGTCTACTACAAAGACTCTGTCTGCAATGTTGCCCTTCAAACTCCTGGCAATACATATAAGCAGCAGTCATCATTCCTGAGAGATTTCTGCTGTGGGACTGCCAAGAGACAGAGATAATGGTAAAAGTCAAAGTTCATTCCTAGGCTAACAGAACAGGGCGTCCTGTACCCTAGTTGCTCCAGTCCGCTCAGAATTTCTGGGGGTCATCCCTGCAGAGAAGGGGACGCATGTGCTTTCTTGTCCACTTAACATCCTGGAAACCAGAATAAGCTCTAGCCTTCTAGCTCTGTGGCTCAGATATGGAGATGACCTACTAACAGAACGGTCTAACAGCACTAGAATCATTTTTTTTGCATATTAAATAGCAAACAAACCATCACAAAGATTGATATATGCGCAAATTAAGATACTTATCTTCTTAAATAGAGTATGCTATTGATAGACAAGTACCAGGGTTCTTCTTCTAGGTCAAAAGAATCTTGAAATCTAGTGTCATGATACAAGGACTAGATTGGCTATTTTGCTTTTAGGTTTATTTTGATTTTTTTTTCTAGCAATTTATAAGCCAGGGACAAACATTCGATGTGTCAATTTGCTGATCCATGGAATGTTGTTTTTCAGCCTCTAATAACCCGGGTACTTGTATAGTTATTGAATAAATAGTCCCACATCCCACAGTAATGCTTCACCTAACGCCCCTTGGGTGCAGTGTATATTGCATATATGTAGAATAAAAACCACATTCTGGCATCAAAGGTTCGACATCGACATCAAAAAGGTTTTTTCGCTGAAAACGAGAAAATACGTTTTGATAACAAAACATGCGATAGAAACCTGCATGAACCCTGTTTTGCTGTACCCCTCTGGAAAGAAGTGAATTCAATTGGCATTCTGTTGAATCACACGTAATAGCTCAGGGGATCAGACCAAATCATACATATGAAGAGCTGCCAACTTTGGCTATGACTTTCTACACGTCAGCTGCCTCTAGTGCAAACTGAACCCATCAGTTTTTAGTGCAGATTTTCCCAAATTAATCCCAAATTGCAATTTGATATGACACTTTTCAATCTCAAGTGTTTTGCATGCAGGGGGCAACTCACTCCATCCACCCTCTGAACTGCGGCACTAGTCTGGGTGATGCACAGTGCTCACACTTCCCAGCAGATCAGATGGGTAGCTGAGAAGCCATTCCCTTAGTTTTCTGTAGGTAGATCAGAGTTTACGAGCCCAGAGTGGGCTAAAACCCTTACTCTTTCGAACAGTACCACGTGATCTTTAACGACCAAGAAGTCAGGACCTTGGTTTGCCATCTCATTTGAAGGATGACACCTCCTGCAGTACAGTGTCCCTCATCACCTTACTGGTGCATTAGTTTTGGAAATTCTGATCCAGAGGGAGGGCTGGTACAACAACACCACTTCAAGCAGCCATCAGGCCTTCCTAGTATTTGACCAGGCCCAGCCTTCACCTGACTGTGTTACACTGAACAAAATATAAAATATTAGAAAAATCAGGATCACATGAATTACTGTGCCAGGATACTAAAAATTGTACCAATCTTTTATTTTGTTTTTAAGCACCGCATGCAGTCCATCGGGTTTACATGGGCTTGTAAATATGCCACATTGTAGCAAAATACTACCTTGGAAAATCTGGTAATAAATCTGATCATCTGATCACTTTGACTGAAATGTCCAATGTACAGACTATATCCCTGTAATCTCAGATCACAGGCCTCATTTTTGGTAATGTAAGGAAGGCGAAGCTCTTGCCCGTCTTGTTAAAGTGTTGTCCTAACTAACAGAAAATGCAGTGGTTTTGTATCCTCCTTAAGCCTCCTACCCCACCCCCCCAAAAATAAATAAAAGACATCATGAAATACCCCAACCATTTTCACATTGAACCCCCTCCTTATCCCACCCCTAAGCTGACTTAAAGCAAGTAAGCCCCAAAGAAGGTTTTCTTTTCATCAGTGAAGTCGACCAAGGTGATATTGTTGACGAGCACCATCAGCTTATCACCTTTTTCCAGTAAGAACACAGCTCCAGAATACAGGCTCTTCATCCACGTGTCGCTGCCACATTCCACAGTCTTAAAAGAAGTGATGAGATCTGAAGGTGTAGGGTATCCATTGGTCATCTTGCTGATGGTCTGACTCAACCTCACCGGCTCACAGCCCCTCTTCCCATGATCGTGCATCAGGGCTCTGAAGGTGACTTGAGCGTAGACGAAGTACCGTCCCGATTCAGGGATGAGCAGGGCGTTGTCGGTGTACGCAAACCCGCTGTCCGTGAAGGCATTGCCCAGGTTCGATTCCCACGGCAGGATGTTCTCCAGTTTGGCGGTCGTCTCCATTTTGGCTGCGGAGAGAGAGAAGGGCCCAAGCGGGGGGGACGTCAGAAACTGAAACCGAGCGCGGGGCTCCCGGGACTGGAGACCGCCACTGGCCGGGACGCTCGGCTGAAAAGCATTAGGAGGAGCGTGCATGCGTGGGATTATAAAAAAACAAGCTAGAAAGAAAACGTTTTAATTTCCCGTGGGGAAAGAAGTGATTGAGAGATGTCAGGCTACATCAGAGAATGATAAGAATACTAGGCTCAAATCTAAGTATTTTAACAGCTCTTTTATAAGGTAAACCATGCAATGTTTTTTTGTGTGTAAACTTCTACCTCTTACAGTACAAACGGCATATTTTTTTATTTGATGTTTTCTTTATTCTCGGGGGGTGCCTTGCACACGATCTGGCCCAAGGGAAACGCTCCCGTTTTTCAAAGCAGAAAGAATTTGATCGAATCCTCCTGAGTTAAACCACAAATCAGCTCCACGGAGCTCTGTTTACTTCACACAACCCACAGGCTTCACCACATTACTCACCGGCCCTACTGGCTGTTGCTGTAGGTGAATCTGAGGTCACTCTTACAGGGTGTGGTTTACACACCAAAGAAAAGGCTGCATTATTAGTGGCGCAATAAACTTTCCCAATGCTATTCTATACACTCCTGATCTTCCTGTCTAAGGATCAGAGGAACACATGCAGCCTGTTGCTGCCAGAGAAGGAGGAATAAACAAATAGCGCTTCCTGAAGAAGGAGGGTCAGCCACTTCCTAGCCTACACAGTAAGCCAAAAAGCCACGACCTTGCCTATATACAAATAATCAAGTGCCGAACTGACATCTACAAATTCACGATCTCTTCTGTCAATCTCCCTTTCAATCCACTGGCAATTTCGTTTTGCAGCTTGCTGCTAGAAGCGTGCCAGACCCTTTATCAACGGTGCTTGTACCTCTTCGGCTTGTAATGTTCTGTTTTTAAAAAGCAATGCCACATTTTCCAAAGCTTTAATGTTCGGCTTGGATTCTTTGAGGGACGGGAGGCAATTTTGTGACAAAGCAATAGCCACAGTAATACCTTATGTGTTATCTAGATGGTTTGCCAACAAAAGGATTAATTAATTCAAACATCCTTAATTGTCTGTTCGCATATAGTTTCACCTATAGCATATAGTGTTCCCCTATAGATATTCTTAGGGAAATTCTAGGGAAAATTTGAATTTTTATTGACATACTCATCCATGCTGATTTTTTCTTTTGGCTTTCTCAAACTGTTCAGTTTTTTGAGTTTTTTACACCTGTCCAAACACCTGATACCCAGGGAAACTAGAACAAGTCCTGATGCATTGCTTTTTTTGTCTGAAGAACATAACACTAAATAATTCTCAATCGTTGCTTTAATTTCTTTGTGTGTAGCTCTTATCGGTAACAACAATGAGAATGGATGCATTTTGCCACATTAAAATTAACCAGTTTGACAAAACATGTTGCCAGACAGGCTGGGTCACGAATTAATTATTTTCACTATCGCACTTCAAGAAGGAGTGGAATTCATTCGATCTATTTTAATGTCTTCTGTGATTAGGGATCTTGTTTCTGAGAGTTAACAAATAAGAAGGAAACAACAGGTTTTTTATAAATATTTTCACGTGCATATTCCATTTTTTTTCTGGAACTGGAAATGTCGACTAAAACTGTGCAATGTCTTTTTTAGAAGAGATGATGGTGATGACTTGCAAACTGCAGACAGTGCACCTTTCAAACTGTGCAATCTCTCAAATGTCATACTGTACTTAGTGTTCTGTTTCTAAGACGTAACAGACAGGCCCCCATTACATAACAACACCTAAACCCTAACAGCCACATATTTCAGACTCTAAAACTTGACAACAGTTTCCACTGGCTGAGGAGGAGAAGGTCTTGATTAATCTTGAGCTGTATAGAACAGTCAAGCTCAGCCTCTTAGTGGAGTTGCTGAAAATCAGAATGTATTTAATTGTGTAGATATAAACCTGTGTACAAACAGGGTTTAGTATACCGTTTCAAAGAATACTGAAGGAATTAGAGCACATTGCCAAGATGAAATATTCCCTGCTCATATCACATGGCTCACAAATTTTTAAGACTGTTGTACTTACCAGTCAGGTGAGCTTTTGGCATAGATCTCTTAGGAGATGGAGTCAATAAGGCCATTTGTTGTGAAGGACCTTTTTGAAGGGAAAAAAAAACATTTATTGGCACAGAATCTCATTTTCATTTAGACTAGTTTGCTGCTTTATTCAGGTCGATGCCTCAATTGTAAACCAATATACATACTGTATACAGCTCTTTTTTTTACAACGCTTTTTGTAAGGTAGCTGTTATGCTTTGCCACTGCTATGCCTGTTGATTGCACCGAGAATACAATTTTCTCTGTACAAATCTATGTTCTCTAAGGCTGTCCTAGAAAACATAATGTTACTCTTAGTTGAAATCAGAACAGAACCTTTCAAATCAATCCTAATGTGGACATTTTCTCCAAAAGGAAAACGTTAAACCCCCACCACCAAAATATTTGTTTATTCAGAAAAGAATTATTTTAAACTGTTTAAGCAAATCAATTCTTAATTCTTACACACTGTAAAAACGCATACTTGACTTTGAGTGGAAGTGGTTTATTTATTGTTCTCTAAGCAAATACGACAAACGTCTGAAATCGAAACCTCATATTTCACACGGAATTCATAAAGACCGATCGTCTTCTATCTTCAGCTGTGTCCCTATCAATGAATTTTGTCAGACAAATCTGAAATACGCGATTTTAGACAAAAGCCCAGGACGCATTTTTCTGACCCTTGCCGAAAAGATTTCAGACAAGTGAAAATAATACTAGAATAACCAGAAAAATAAACTAAAAATTGCAACAGAATACCATTCAATTGTCTTCCAGCAATATTCACTACTGCCACAGTAACTTTTATTAAGCACGCCTCGTGACTGCTATGAGAAACTATAATCATTTTCATCATTTCATTTTTTACATTAAATTTGTTCTCCTTTTGGAAAAAAACAACAACATAGGTGTGATTGGTTTTAAAAAGAAAAACACCGATTTATGCTGCCAAAATACAGGTTTACGATATTTACTCATTTTCTATATAAAAATAGTCAGAGAATCTTACCTTGCGAAACTTGCGCAGCTGTCTGTAAAAAGAGAGAATACAGTTAGACTGGTTGAGCACGCGTGTTTTATCTGTTAATTGGGATAAAAGATTTTAATCAGCTCCAGGGGTGTGTGAAGAATGAAAGTGTTTCATGAGCTCCCCACACGCCCTCTCAAGTTTACAGTTAGAGTTAAGTGTCAGTATATCTTTTGCCTTTGAGAGGCACTCCGGTCAGCACAATCTCTCATGAGCCTTTCTCGTACTGTACATACTGTAGTGTCCTGAAACCGTACTGTACAGTACATCGCTGCTGACTGGACGCTACCCACCTGGTGATCAGAGGGTTCCCTCTGAGTTGCGTGACAGAAGAGCAGGAAAGCCGCACAAGAGATGAACAGAAAGCCCAAGGAAAAACGAGAGACACAGTCCCTCCTCTTCATCTCGTTGCAGGTATTTATTATCACGGCCACAGATCTTTCGTGCTCCAAGATCTGCAGTTTCGTCTCCTCCGACACGTCAGCCCCGCGATCCATAGTTTCTCCGTATCAGCAGCAGCCCAAGCCGAGAGCAATAGCACGTACTGTATCTCAGTCTTGAATGTGTTGATGCGCGATATCCTCTTCATCGAACCGAGCCCCTCTTTATACTAATTAGATCCCCCGCGTTCTTTGTTTAGCACCGCCTACGAACACGAACCAGAATATTCATTTTTGTTTTTCGGCGATGGGCGATGTAGAATCGGAAAGTCCCAGAGGGCGACCCTAATAAAAGTCGCTTTGCGCATTACACAACGGCACAGGATCTCAACTGGATGAGCGAAAGGGGGTGTTACCGCGGAGACTTTACAAGGAAAGTGCGGTTCTAACAGCGCATGATTCACTCGGCACCCTCTGAAAAACCTCCTCTCGTTTCTTTCCGCAGCCCTTTTCCCTTTCGGGTTTCTGTCGAGGCTGGCGAGCAGGATTTGCGCCGCTGGAGGTCCCTGCTGCCTCACAGCTGCTTTCACAACGCAGCGCGCCGAGAAGTTCCGCTTCCAACGTGAAAACAGCATTCCTTCGCCAACGAGGAATCTGTCTCTCCGCGTACACGACTAGATCAATTTGGGTGACCGGAGAATAAGTTACAGAATAATGACATTACGGCCATAACCTTCAAATTATTAGTAGTTGCAAAGAATTTACTTGGCTGAAGCGTATATCCAACATAGCCCCGGTACCCACTGTAGCTGGGCATCTAACTTAAAGCTGAGTGCAGGGTATGGCAGAAGTATCCCCAGCCAAACCCTGGTGTCACGTCTCTCCTCTAACTAGCCCAGAGCCCCAGCCGCTGTCCCACGGCCGCAGCTGGTGTACTTCACAAGACAGGGAGCACCATTCTGTACCGTGACAAGGAACAGACGAGAAAAACACCAGCCCCTTAAGTGGTGCAGAGATGGTGGCACGGGTGGTTGTGACTGGAAACAGCCCGTTTTGCATTTGTTTGGGCTGATTCGCGTTTAGTTAACGGGTTACATTAGAGGCAGAGATTGTTAGGCGAAAAGATGCGCTTTTACGCATAGACCGTCACCGGTCGCAAATGAACGCCCTCCCTCGTCGTTGAATGTACTTAGAAATCTACGTTGGAAAACCACGGAAATACAGTTTTGTATTGTACACATAACGTTTTTTTTTATTTAATTTGTTAAATTATAGGGAATTGTATATAGGGAACAGCTGATGGTTACGTTGTAGATAATGATGGAAAAACCGGCGTCTTCTTCCGAGTACGTTTTTGGCAACTACGGGCTCGGAGAGGCCCGGAGACGCAGTTTGGTTAAGAACAAGTATCCGTACTTTCGAACAGTGCCTCTTCAGCTGAAAAAAAAAAAAACAACAGTTACCACAGTTATTTCTGGTAGTTGTAAATTTCACATCTAGAGTTATTACAAAATATTTGGAATGTATTCATTCTCTTTTTTTTGCCGGAATTTACTGAATCATACTTCTTAATGATCCCACTTCCAACTCTAAACCCAGGGTGTTCTTCCGAACGGAAAACTGCAGACTCGATTCCAGAAAGTCCAAATGCTTCAAGAAATTATTACTTTAAGCTGTTTTGAGCAAATCAGTCCGTCATTCTAAAACACTAAAAGTCACAAACTTCACTTCAGGTTGAAAGTGGGATTATTTATTTTCAGTACTTCAAGCAAAAATAACAAATTTTCAACACACGGAATTCATCTGGACTGGTCGGTTTTATAGCAGGGAGAGGAAAAGTGTTTTTTTTTTCTTGAACTATTTTTGCCAATGAAAGCGGTACACAAAGAGGTTGAGCGCTTTTCAGACTCTTGTCCAAATAATTTTACGTGTAATACCGTCTCTGTACTACGCTTAAAAATGGCTATTTTGTTATGTGTGGGATTTAGGTATTTAGAGTAATCTTGTGTTACTGCAGGGAACTTTTTCAAAGTGAGCAGGCCCAGATTTCGTGAGATGGCATTGCGAAATAAATTCTGGGGGATAAAAATGCAGACTGAAGGTACACTTCATCATGCCAATGAGTTACATCAAACATCTGTTATGCTAACATTAATAGTAAAAATCCCAAATACAAAATTTAAGTAATTCTGTTATAATTAAAACAATAAGAAAAAATCAAAAAGTAAAGAGTTCCAAACCATATTTGTCAGCACAACACGCAAAACCAGGAGAGCACCTTAAGCACTGTGAAGGAGCTTGAGTAATCTATAGGAAATTAGAGTGATACCATGTCTGGAATTAATTGGGTGAGGTTTTCAAGAGAAACAGGTAGAAAGTCAGATTGTGCTCCGAGAAACAGGTGATGACCAGCTATGGGCTTAAAAATCGTTGCTACAACATGACGTGTACATCTGAAATCAGTTTTAGTGTGACAGAATGATGGGGCATCTTCACTACCTTGGTTTCCTGAAAATGGAATACAGTCATCACCAACGGGGAACTGTCTTGTAACCACATTAGGCCAGTGGGGACTAGATCTGGAGTTCTTCCCTGTCTCTGGCTGGTGAGATTCACTTACTCACTAATTTACTATTAATGGTTTGCATTAAGGGTTGTGGGAGTATGGAACAGGTTACCCAGACACGCTATTGAATCCAATGCCCTGGCTTATTAATGACAAGACCATTGGGTCAGTTAGCAGCTATAAGGAAAATAATTCATGGGTCGGATCTCGCTCTCAATAAATAACAAATCCAATCACAGTATTCACGCTTCTGCCAGAATCGGAACAGCTTCAAATCCCACTGAATGCAGGGAAAGGAAACTCAATAGAACAGCAGCCCAGTATGTGATTTCCTTATTATTATTATTATTATTATTATTATTATTATTAGTAGTAGTAGTAGTAGTAGTAGTAGTAGTAGTAGTAGTAGTAGTATAAATGTTATGTATTGCTATGTGTGTGTTGCTGTCATTATTAATAAATATTTGTTTAACCCAGTTTGCCTGATGTTTAACTTCTTCAAACGAGCAGTGCCAGAGAATAACGATCTCACGTGCCTCTAACTATTCAAGCTGCTAAGGGTACATTCTTGGTACATCTTTCAAATTTGAGGGGGCTGTGTGTTTATTTTACTTCATTTTTGCTTATCCTGCTCTGTGATTTCTATTTTTGTAATGTTCTGTTTGCACAAAATTTGGATTAATTGGCCCAAACGTCCATAAACAGGAGCTGTATGGTGAAAAGCATTTCAAGGACAAGTTTTTGTTTAACTTGGGATATATTTTTAAATTATAGAATTGAAATCAAAGGGGTTGTTATGTCAAAAGTATGGTCACCTCATTACAAAAAAAGAAATTACTCCTCTGAAATCAGAGAAGAGTGACCATTTACATTTTATGGGGTTAAAGAAATGCCCCACACTGACTGAAACAACTGGACCTTTTTAGTCTTGAACAGAGAAGCGTGTGTGTGGGCGACCTATCTAACTATTTGAAATAGGACATCGACAAAGTTAACCCTTTATTTTTTTATAAACAACAGTAATGGTTTTCTCCATCTGAATCCCCTTGACTACATATTAGAGCTCCTGATATTATCAGATTGACTATTATTTTGCTACAACGGATTAACTATAAATCTCTTACTGTTTCACATTGTCGTAAACCAAATCAGTCTCAACAGACTTCTAATTCCACTTAATAGTTTAAAGGAATAAAAGAATTTGATTACACAATGCTGAAAACAGTCTAAATAGACTTGTCATTTTGTAGTTCATCTTAATATACAGTATATAAAGTCAAATTAAGCAGTCAGCTGTTTAGTCCTCTTCTAGGCTCATCTATGGGACACAGTTAACTATGAACTGGAAAAAAGACATATACAGTATATTCATATTTGATAGAACATCTTTCAACATTGTGTATTGTGCATTTTAGTGGCAACTAGTTAATATGAATTTTGGGAAATAATGTTTTTACTTGAATTCTAATTGAACAATGATTTATTAATTAGGAACAGATTGATCTGTTACCGCTTCAGGTAGTAACAGAGGTTTACATTTGGCTTCAGATATTCAGTAATAGCTTTAAAACATTAAAGTGTACCTGATTATTTGCTAAATTAAGAGTTCAATTGAAATAAATACAGCTGGATTAAACTCAATACATTGAGCAGTACGATTAAGCATGAAAGAACACTGGGGATAACACTTCTAGTCTTATGAAGAGTGCAAAGGGTTCTTTAGTGACCGTGTGGTCAGGACCTCTGTTTAACATCCCATCTGAAGGACATCTGTCACGATCGTAACCCCTCCTCTTAAGGGGGCTCCGGCTCTTTCACATTTTGCTGATTCGGTACACCTGCCCTCAATCCTGCCCCTCCTTATTTAAGCCCGGCACTCTCGCTACTCCGGGCTCTGCACTGGAAGACGGACGCCCAGAGGCCCGCCTACCACCAAGTCGCCCTACGTCCGCGGCTTGAAGGCGTAGGCCTCCTATCGGCGCCCTGCCCCAGCTGAGTCCAGGGCCCAGAGCGCCTGGCCTCGTGTTCCTGCTTTTATTCCCCGTCCCTGCACCGGATCCCGTTCAGGTTTTTAGCGGTGTTTTTTTTCGTCTCGTTTGGATCACCCGGATCTCTGGACTTTTGGACATCACCCTGGATTTTCCCTTGGACTCCTTCGGACTAGTTCACCATGGCCACGCCCCTCCCGAGCACCAGTGCACACTCGTCACGCCCCCCTGTTTGTCGTCATCTCCTCCCCGTGTCTGTTTCCACTTCGATCCGGATGACACCGTCTGCACAGGGTCCTGACCTACGCGCCGTAACAGACATCTCCTTCCGCACAGTAGTCCGGGTTGTTATACTGGGTTTGGAAATAATGGACCGAGGGAAGACTGCCACCTACTGGTCCACCAACCCACCTTTGAAAACCAACAGCCTGGTTTAGGTCTATCTTCCCTATTGCTACCCAGGCCCAGCCTTGTTTATCTCCTAATAGAAGATCAAAACATGGTTATATCTCTGGCATAGGAGCAGGAATCCCTGCCAAATACTACTGACTTTCTCAGTTCTGTATACTTGCAGAGCATTTTTGCAACATCCTCATCTCTGTCTGCCGGGTGTTCTAAACCACCGTGAGCAAAATGTGACCTTTTGATTACAGTTACAGCAATGCTGATTTAAATGTGGTGTGCATGACTCACAGACCTAGACTGCTGTGACTTTTATCATTGGATTTTGTGTTTTTTTTTTGTATATAGTATTTTCATCCCTATGGTTTTTGTTTCTGATAAGCTTTCAGAAGTTACACCTTACACAGGGTGGTAGGGTGGTCCAGTGCTTAGCATTGCTGCCTCATGGCACAGGGGTCTTCAATTCCTGGGCTGCTGTCTGCATGGTGGAGTTGGCATGTTTTCCCTGTGTTTGTGTGGGTTCCCTCTGGGTGCTCCTGTTTCCTCCCACAGTCCAAAGACATGTTGGTAGGCCGCTCAGGGAATCTGGCAGACGAGCTGACAGGATCTGAGCTGCTCGGGGGAATCTGGAAGGTGGGTATCACTGTTGGTTTCAGTCTCACCAGACGGCTCTCAGTAGCTTAACGTCAGAGCACCTGTCTGGCAGTGTTCTGACTGAAGACGATTCTAGAAGATTAGCTGCCTGACTGATAGGCAGCCAGACGGCCAGACGAGAGGCCCGATCTCATACTCGCAGAGCCAGCTGGAGGGCGAGCACTCTTCAGAATGCCACGGTTACCCATGCCAACCACTGGCTACAAGTCAGTGCCAGCCTGGGCGTGACCAGTTAAGGGCTGAGCAAAAAGTTGTCAATTTCACCTGAGCCCGAACCCTCCAATACTATTCGCTTGATTAAACCAAATTTCCCATCTGCTTCTGCTTGAAGTTGTCTTTGCTTGTTTCAGTTGGCGGTCACATGGATAAAAACAAAAAAATCAAATGAGAAAGTAGAGGACTTTAGAAGTTAAGTTGTGGCTAAATAAAACAATATAACTCGACTGAAGATAAAGCAAGAAAGCCAGTACTAATTGCTCACACTAATGTGTTAAAAGAAGGATGGCTCTAACAGGTGACCTTGTCAGAGGAGTGTGTTCACACTCCTAGAGTTCCTGGGTGAAATCCTATCTGTGAAGTTCTATCACAAGGAACTGGGTGATCAAACTGGCTGATACCTTAATATTAACTCAGTCTGTCTATCTCACCTGGCAGTACAGTGCAGCCCTGTACTGCTAGCACATTGCTGTCTTGCACAGTCCAAAGACACGCTTGTAGGTTAATTGGCCTCTGGGGAAAACTGGCTCTGGTGTTTGTGTATCTACCGTGTGGTGGACTGGTGTCTCATCTAGGGTACAGCCTGCCTTGTGCCTGTACCTTGAAGTCCTATTTGGTGCTGATTTACAGCAAGTCTTACATACTCTGGGGGCAACTTAAGATACCCAGCTCTGGCAGTATTAGACCAGATGTTCACCACTGGAGGAACTCCTGTCATGGTTTAGTAAAGACTCGAAATGTCTCCAGATGGGAGAGTTCAGCCTGCACTGAAACCGAATGACAGACCCCAAAAGCTGGGTCTGGGACAAATTCAGTCCTCTTTCCATGTTCTGCTGGTGTATGGAAGAAAAAATGGTTGTATTATAAAGTAATGTGTAGCATCAACAAAAGTGGTTAATAACTGACACATGGGGGGGGGGGGAAATGGAAGTATCAAAAGCTGATGGGAGGCTCAGATGTTGTGTCCTATGAGTCACTAGATTCTTTCAAAATCTAATTATACATGGACAGATTAGCCATCCAAAGTGATATTTGTTTTTCCTTTTAACTTGATACAGTATGAAGTGATCAAGAAGTCATTCAGCAAGATGGAGTGACTCACAAATGTTTATTTTTTACTGTTACTATAGTTCTCAAGGCATACACAAATAACAGTTACATTTGTTTAGCTTTCACTCTATTTGATAAAGGCTTCAAAGCGTGTGCATACCTTTTGAGATTATTTTACGCTAACGTGTATCTGCTGAGATCCATACCTGCAGTCAGGTTATTCTCAAAACTCTTCTGGTTTCCTATGTTATGAACCGTTAGACACTACTAGGCTTTCCTCTCCAGTGTCTAGGGATTTATCAGCAATGTCGTGACTTCTCCATTGTCCGTGAAAAGGGGAGGTTAGATAAATTAGGAGATCAAAGATTAGATTAGAAGTGCAGATTTAGTCAAACAGATCTCAAAGCTCAGATGCAGAAAGTTCAATTGTAACTCTTGTCGGCTTCAAAAACAGATGTAGGTTTAGATTTAAGCATTGAGCTCATTTTCCTTCTGGCCTTGAAGCCCAGGAGCATATGTAGAATCTCAGATTATTTTCTAATGTTAGGTGTTTTAACCTGTCATGGTGGTGGCATAGAAACCTAGATTTTTTTTTTTTACCACATTGTGGGACAGGATAGGATTAAAAATTGCTGTTGCTCTGAAAGAAATTAAGCTTTCTCCTTGCTGAGATAAATAATGGAATTGAATGTCAGCGCAGTAATCTTAAATATCAACCAAATAAAATAAGTTACCTATTTAAAAACTCCATGGCTCTCTCTCTCTTCTTCACGGCTGTAGCCATTCCAAAGTAGACCAGGCCTTAAGCATTTTCTGAGAACGCAAGCAGGTTGTTGAACAAGGTCATCTTGTGATCAATGGAAAAGCAAAACATTAAAAGAGGGAAGGGGGGGTGGGAGGAGGAAAGAGTAAATACAACTACTTACAACACTGTTGAGGCTTGCATTTAGGTTAAAAAAAAAAAAACACTATGACGGTAAACCTCTAAACATCTCCAGGAAGAACTTTTTAAAAATAGAACTGCACATCAA